GGAGGTCCAGCCTCGACTCCTGGCTATTTTTTCGCAACTATAACTTAGAATCAAAATAATGGATAATCTCGGTTTAATTAGGGAGTTAATTATATTAAGAATTGAGATTCAGGGTCGATTTGACATGAAAGATTGATTCACCGCGTACGTTCAAAAGGAAAACCTATCCAGCGCGTGCGTTGACACTGTCAAATATTATTATCCTCCCGCACACAATATTTGGTCTAAATACTCATTCAAACATCTGCGTTAAGCTCTTACTTGCCCAGAGATATGTTTGATTTAGTTGTACACTGTGAGCGTGTGTATACAGATAAAGAATCGCTCGTTGCGCGCGAATATATGAAGCGTATGTATCCATCGACTAATCCGGGAATCGCGAGCGAAAATTTACGATGTTGTATGCGAGCTGCAGTCGTTTCGCGAAGGTGCTTCCGCATGCTCTAAAATATTTAAAGTAGACTGCGCATTATACTAATGTATGAATGTGTTGAAGAAGCGGGACCGTGCAAAGAATAGTTGTTATTTCGCGTGTCTATCGAGTGACTCTTGAGCAACATGCGAGAATATTTAATTATAATTACAAATCCTGAAATAAAAGTGCTAATTTGACACTAATAATATTGGTACTTGATTATGAACATTCTCATTTTGGTTCTTAAATATTTCTGAGAGAGAGAGAGAGAGATATCTTGAATATTTAAACTTTTAAAATAAAATATACATATATAACTTGAATATTTAAACTTTTAAGATAAAAAGTACATATATACACACATATTAAATATGTATATACGTTCTATAGTGAAAGTTTAAATATAAGTATTTAAAGACAAGAAGAATGTCTACAGTTAGGTATCAGTGTAAATAATATCTAGGCCTTGATATTTTTATCTTATCCAACAGAATTATTGTATAAGCCTACCATGACTAATTCGTGGACATTACGAAATATTTAGTGAATGTTTAATATTATGCACGAATGTACCTCAGCGTATATTCTTGAAGATTTTTAGATATGTAAAAGATGTCTATAGATATCTCCTTTACGGGCATGTATAAAATAAGCATCTACCACGAATACTCCTTTAATACTTTAGAATCTTTTGGGATATTTAGTGGATACTCCAATATCTCGCGATATTTGGAGCAGCGTGCTTATCGAATAATAATGAGGAATAATCGGAAAATAATAATTCTTGAGAGAGCAAAAATAGCCGTGCTCGAATTTAAATATCAAAATACGGGCGTTTGGTTGTTTAACGATGGTGTATTTATATACACACGAGTCGACTTGACTTTTCAGTAGTTCAAGATATCACTTATCTCTTCACAGATGTCGTCGGAATATTCCCAATTTTGTCGTGAACATCGCGATTCCGTCTCGCGAACATCTCGTCACGAAATTGCGGTACGACGTTTCCCTGTCACGAGAGGGACAAATTCACCGGGTTACGACGAGTCAGGTGAATATCGGCTTTCCGAATTTCACGATGTGTCCCGTGAAAAAAAAAACAAGAGTAAAGAGAAAAAGTCTCCGCGAGGAAAAGCCGGAGGTTGTCAAGCCCGCGCGACGTGATCGCGGTTGGAGTTTCCGCCCGCGTCTCTGAAAAGTTAATCCTAGTTCGGAGTGTGCCGCTGTCGGTGACAGTGATTGATGGACGTCACAAGCGTGAGAATAGACCGCGAGCTTCATCATCGTCTTCTTCCACCTCACTTTGCGTTTCTCATGATGCATTACCATGTACCTTCAATGATCACCATGTGCTAAAACTATCGACGGAGCGATCCCGGAAGTCAAGTCGCGGCGAGAATCTGATTTTAGACAATCGACTGCTCGTCCGTCTCCTACACAAGTCTCCTACACGAATCTCCTACGGGAAAGCTCTCTGAAAATACAACCGGTGTATTCTTCGCCGCTACACTTACCACTGGTAGTTTAATTATAAGTACAGCACCGCAATCAAGGAAATCTTGCTGAGAGGAATAGCTAACAGTAGCGACTATCCCCCCATTATTGATGCATTTTGAGAGAATACAGTGTGAACGTTCAAGAATATGCAGCGGACGTTCCACGAACGTTCATTACATATCCAAGAATATTCACCGGATATCACTGCTGTGGGATTCGATCGTGCGTTCCAGCATGGCCACGACGTGACGACTGATCGGGCGAGTTGTACCTTTGACATTTTCTACGAGGCACTCCGAACGAACATCCGGCGCTCCCAAGGTGTGTCGTGCGCTGTGTGAAATTTGTGCAGCGCCGGAGAGAGCGCAAAGATATTTTCACTAGTTCGATAGAAAAGATCTAATCGTATCCCTTGCGTATTAAGATGAAAGCACCAATGCCCGGACATGTGCCTAACCTTGGACATTCTTATTGTTTTGGTCTTAAAATATAAATATTTAAACTTTCCACATAAAATATATAGGATGTTAAGATAAAATATTCCAAAATTACAAGGTAGATAATTATATTCATTATATTGAGTAAAAAGTTTATTAAACATGCGTCGAAAAGTTTGCCTTTTCAGTTATAAACATTTTTCGATTTTGGTAGGTATTTATGCAATATCGATAACCAATATCTCTGTGATCTTGAGCGTGCAAACATGTATGAACGCGTGAGCCTTGACTGCCCTGACATTTAGGGGATACAGGTGTCAATTTTTCACGACTGAATTCCAATCCACGTGTCACGACGTTTATGTTAAAGATTTATGAATTTCACACAGCGGCCGCGGTGAACTTGATGCGGCGACCGGACGGCCGATCGATCGTTTGTTCGATCCATCGGCCATCTGGTCGATCGAGCGGCTGAATCGCCAGTCAGTCGGTCGGTTAGCGCGAACGCGCAAATCTAATCTCTGCTCCTCGACGGAGGCTGTCGGCCTCTCATCTTACGCTTCCAATTGACGCGCTCGGTCAGTGTCACATGCCACCGACTCTTCGCGCCCGTAATCGCCACGACAACGGATCCATTCAGAAGACGCAACGGTCCCGTGGACGATGAGCAACGATGCTCGCCTGTGGTCGGCGAATACTTAAAAAAAATCAACAGACCAAAGCGCTTCGCGCGAAACAAACTAATCGTTCAACCGCGTTGCGCTTGTCTAACGGACAGAACTGCAACGCGACCTTCTCCGCGTGGCCTTCTAGCTGCACTCTCTTGCGCTTTCTGTGCCAACAGCGGCAACAAACTAACGCGTTGAAAAAGGAGCATTGATCAAAGGCAGTTATACTCGAGCTATGAGGCTGCAGGTGAAACGGAAAGGCGGAACGAAAAGCCTGCTTGTTTAGATGAATCGAGGTAAAAGTACTGAGACAAAGCGGTGAAGTCGCACGGAGACAATTTTGTAGTGAAAATTACTGCATAGAATTTTGTAGTCGTCGGATAAATCGACATTCTGTCGTAATTCACTATCCTCTCGTCTCATACGTACTACTTATATATTTTAGGAACTGAAATGTGCAATTAAACAATTTGCTACATTTCCAGCGGAATGCATGATGTTCCTTGATGGATCTTATTGGCAGTCTATTCCTGCACTACTACAAATATAACAAAACTGAAAAGAGTTTATATAAAAAGAAACTACAATATTCTCTTTGTGTAAAAACCTAGATACATATCTAATCTAAATGGACGTTCTTGCTTTGATTTTTAAATACGAATATTTAGATTTTCAACATAAAAAATATATATAGCCAATATATGTGTATATATTTCATGTTGAGAGTCTAAATATCCGTATTTAAAAAGACCATAAGAATGTCCAGGATCAGGTATACGTCCGGGGATACTTTTACCTCAGTGTTGTATTGGAATTTTGTTCCTTGTCTCTTCCACGTTAGACAATACATTTATTTCATTCTAAAGGCAAGAAATGCGACCTAGTTGAGCCAGAAAGGACAGACCCTGCAAAATTGTCGAAGGGGCACGACCGAGAGGAGCGTGTCTCCCAGCGCGAAGACGGCGGGATGCTCGCTCGCTCGCTCGTTCGCACGTACGCATCTCGCACGCATGCACTCGCACGCAAGCGTTTATTTACGTCGCGCAACACGGCGCACGAGGAGGGTGGATCTCTCCGTCGCCCGCTCACCCGGAACCCGCGATCGAAGCGACGAGAACGACCTAGAAAGTGGCGAGATCCCGTTGCACTTGACACGGACCGTGCGCGCCCCAACGCGTACGACACGACGCCGCGGCTGCGGTGCTACACGACGGAGAGAACGCACGCGACACGCGCGTGTGCATGTATACATGCGTGCGTGCGTGCGTGCGTGCGTGCGTGCGTGTGTTGCTACACGCACCCGCGTGTATCCGCAATGCCGCAACCAAAGTGGCACACGATCGCAGAACGTCTCCTGGAGGATGAGACCGAACCAACATTACACGCGCGTACATGCATATCGGCGCGCATATCGATGCATATGTCGGAATCTGCTTTGCAAGTCCGGGAATAGCGAGACTGATAAGGAGCAACAAAGGACACAGAGGAAGAGAGAGAGAGAGAGAGAGAGAGAGAGAGAGAGAGAGAGAGAGGAGAAAGAGAGAGAAAGAATGTACTAAGCGGACGACAAATCGACGTCGGTGCAGCGTGAGACCAACGACCGCGCGAGAGATCGTTACACCAGCTCGACCGAGGTTGTCCGCGCGATAACCACAAGTGAGAGAGAGAGAGAGAGAGAGAGAGAGAGAGAGAGAGAGAGAGAGAG